ATATTTTTATTTTTTAATACCGAAAATAAAAAATTTTTAAACTGATTTAAATTTTTTTGATTAAATTCAAAATAGCCAATTTGTGAATCTGATTATAAGAACGATTTGGATAGTAAAAACATTTATCTAAGTCAAGTAGTTTTTTTTTTTTTACAATTTTTTTTAAATATCAATATTTTTTTGATTCAATTAATTTGGAACGCAATAACTTTTTTAAAAGTATTATTTTTGGCAATTTGCTAACATGGGTATATTTCTTAAACTATTTACTAATCATATAATTTTATCAATTTTTTTTTTCGATCAGTTCTTTTTGTTACACCCTGTATATACGTCTGCGGGATAATGTAGGATAATTTTAAACCGGTCTAGTTTAGCGATTTGTGGTATCGTTGATACAAATGCAGTCTGTTATCTTGCTATTATATAATATAATATCTGTATTAGAATGGACTTAAATTATCCATTCTATCGGTTAGTACGTGGTTTACGTATATGTTTGTTCTTAATATATTTTAAGCAACGAATAACGACTACCAGCCAGTCAGCCATCAGTGTTAACCGACAGCGCTCCTAACGACTGCCAGCGGTTATCGAATGCCGACAGCGCTTCTAACGGCTGCCAGCGGTTGCCGACAGCGCTCCGTAGTGGCTGCCAGAAATTAATTGTCAACGAATATTCCTATGGCATTGCTTATCTGTGTATTATATAATCAATGGTATAACTGAATCACAAAAATATCATGAACAATTATTGGAGTTAAAAGAGGATTTCACGTTGGAACATTTTGCTAATGGAGGCATTAATCCATGTTATCGTACGGTTCGTTATTGGTATGATGTTTGGAGAAGTTTGAATTTAGGTCCACGTAGTGGTGTTGGATTAATTGAGGTAAATATCCAATTATAGCAATAAAGAATAGTATACTTACATAATATTAGATACAGATAATACAAATAAGTAAGGCTAGCATACATATTAATGTAGCTTTATTATTTTTATTTTAATATAGAAACTAAAAGAAAAACAAGAAATTTACAGTAAAAATGGCATTACTGTTTTATTCAAAGAAAATCCATTTGCTGTAATTGTTATAACACCCATTATTACCTATACACGTGATTTGAATTTTAATTTGAGAACTTATATTTTATTATTATTATGAATTGTAGAAATTGACTTGATGTACATACCTATACACGTGATTTCTTAGATCATATACAATGGATGGAGTCATAGCATACTACGCGTATAAAATGAGTTGATGCCAACATTACTGTAGGACCTGTGACATCTGCGCATGCGTGACTGCTTATCATAATACATCAATCTGTTTATCTTAACTGCGCGTCTGCAGTGAGACTCTGCACTCTGCGTCTCTGTCCCAAACATTAATGAGAAGAGACCACGCGCATGCGCATATCACCGAGGTCCTACAATGATGTTGGCTTCACAAATAGTTCGTATGGCTCTATCCATTGTATATGATCTAAGCGTGATTTGAATCATTTTATCATGTTATCACAAATGTAATAGGACCAATGAGAGCTCTCTATTTCCTATGGGTCTCTAGCAATGTATGGTTTGCTTATATGCTGGCGGGCGATAGCTAACCTGTATATCTTTAATCGTGATTCGGATATTGAAAAACCGATTTTTATATATTTGTTCTTATCTGTCGAATAACTCAATTGAAAAACCGGGCCTTAGAAGAGACTAATCTGATCTTCCAAGACCGTGGTTTATAGTAATATTGTTTTTATTTTTATCAATATTATCTGTATAATAAATAATAATATCACAATTCACAACAACAAATTCTTAATTTTTGATAAACCCGTAAAACCGCACTCAAACATGTATGGGTATTAGACATTAAGGGGGCTGGAGCGTGATTCATTTTAGGTCGAAAACATAGCTCACGACTTCAATCACTACTTCACCCAATATAATGTTCTAATTTTAATTTTGAAAGCAGATTTGAATTCGTCACTAAATTATCTATGCTTTGACAGTTTTATTTTTCTGATTTTTATTTTTTTTTACTTAGGAATTTACTAACAAAAAGAGTAAAAAATTAGATCATTTTTATAATTCAAATTTAAATCCATTGATATAGAATATGAAAAATGTACGACAGTCAAAGCATAGTAAATTTAGAGGAGAATTCAAATCTGCTTTCTAAATTTAAATCGGAACTTTCTAGTGATTGAAGTCACTGGCCGTATTTAAAAAAAAAAAAAAATTTATTAATTTTATAAGCCAATATGTGGTTGACATGTGCATGCGCGTAGGTAAAATCACAGCCGTACATATCCGGTCACTATGATGCTTCTATACAACGTAATCGGTATTATTCGTGGAATCACACACAATTATTTAATGACTATTAGTATTGTTATGTTATATACAGAATATATTATATAAAGGTATAGGTAATAGGTTTTATTTCAGGGATATTATATTATTATTCATTATGATTATTCAATAAAATTATATTTTACATTATACAGGTATACCTATTTAAAAAAAGTTTGTCTGGACATTTGATGTATTGATATTTTACTAATATAGTTTAGAACTATTTACAAGTATTATAATATGAGATTTCTTCATTTCGTAGTTAGTACACATCAAGACATAATGTAGTGAAGTCGTACAGACACAACAAAAACGTGTTAGAAATACAAATTATACAATATAATTGTGTTTTGATCGCGGCTGTTTTCTGTTGATAATTAAACTGGTTATTTGTTACAAGTGCCATATTTTCATTGTTTTTGAGCTGTTTTTATTATTAATTGTGAATAAAATATTAAAAATGGCAAAAACGAGAAAGTCAAAAAAGAAAAGGGAATCCATCATTATTGGAATCACGTAAATCAGTGAGTTTATTTATTATTTATTTTAACAAAAAATATATGTAATATATTATATAATTTATTTATTCATAATGTAATTTAAATTTGATTTTTATAATTTTTTTTAATTTTATCTTGAAAAATATATTTACAAAAATACGTAAAAATGAAATTCCAACTGATTTTATTACTGAATTACCAAGTATTTCAAAAGTCGAATCTTCAAATTTAAAAAACTGTAATCAAACCTAATCAATTTTTACTTCTACACCCATAAGCACTTGCAAGTTAATTCCAAAGCAATTATTTAAACCAAGTGCTTCAATTGAAGATTATCATATTGCGGAAGTAAATAATTCATTGAAGGATTTAGATTTGAGGAGAATTGTCAATATCAAACATATTTTTGAATCTATAAAATCAATAAATCATGAAGGATTTAACTGTACATTCAGTGACCTAAAGTTTACTAACGAGATTAGGAAAGGATTTTTAAGTATTTTTTTATTTACTTACAAGGTATGGAATAAAAAAGAAAGTATTTATAGTGAAAATCCGACTGATAGTATTGTAAATATTAATATGGCTGTCGTGTCTGCTGTCGTCAATACTGGTCAAGGGTACACCCAACTTGAGGAATTTGCAGCAATTTTAAACATACCGATGATGTCCAATAGAAAGTATCAATAACTTCATACAAGTGTTTTTAATTACACACATAAAATTGCATTGGAAGGAATGATAGAAGCAGGTAAAGAAGAAGGAAGGCTAGCTATTGAAAGGGGTGAAGTAGATCAACGTGGCCGTCCTAAAACAGCAGTTATAGCTGATGGTGCTTGGAGTAAGAGATCATACAAAACCATTTATAATGTGTTATCTGGCGTTGTACCTAATATTTTAATATTTATTGTTACATGAACATTTAAATAGTACCTATTTTATACAATTTTTATATTTGAGTTAAAATAATGTATGTGTTATTATTTTAAAGAGGCTTGTATTATTGGAGCGGTGACTAAAAAAGTACTCTTTTTTGGAGTAAGAAATAAATTTTGTTGTGTGTGTAATTCGGTGAAAAAACGTAAAAAAGAGCCAGCACCTGATCATTGTTTTCAAAATTGGAATGGGCCGTCTACAGCTATGGAAGCTGACATAATTGTTGATGGATTCAAACATAGCTTAGAGATGCTTAGAGATTATGTTATATATTCGAAGTTAATTGGTAAAAAAAATATGCATAATACCTATTATATTATTATATAATTAATTTAGGGAAAAACTTGAATTTTTTTATTTTGTTGCAATTAAAAAATGAAAAATTTAAGGTACCTACTTGATATATTCAGCAAATGATTATTTTAGCACTATCAACATTTATAATATATAGTATAACTTTATTATATTATATTATACTATATTATTACTTTATTATTATTATACTTTATTTATATTTTAACCTTTTTGAGCAATTTATCATACTGAAAGTTTACAAATTATTTAGCAGTTAAAAATATATGAACAGAAATCTATGAACAGTATGAACAATGAACCAAAAACTAGGTAACTATATATATTATAATTAATTTTAATATTTTCAGGGGAGAATAATTTAGTTGATGAATTGAAAAGATTTGAAATGTGGGACGATGTGCCAGAAATTTACTTACATATCACACCGAAAGTTTAATGTATAATTTCAATAATAACGAGGCCGAACTTTATAATTCTATCTAGCAAAGTTTATTGGAGGAAAACGAGTTAATTTTTCCCAAAAAGGTGTGTGTAATGTTTTAAATTTGAATTCAATGGTAAGTCATTATATACCAAAAAAAAAAATTGTGAAGAGTGGAGTAGGTGAGTGGTGACGTATACTAAGTTCCCGCTCAACCATAATTTTATAAAAATCAAAATAAATATGCACGTACCTTTTTAATATATTTCAGTTACCATCTTTGAAAAATCTGATTTTTTAAATATATTAGGTTATCAGATTGGTGAATTATTGCTGTTTATTATTTTTTAGGTTCTTATGAACTTCGATGTAATGCAGCAGTGACATCATACAACCTAGGAGCAAATCGTTCATTACAAAATATCGTTTTACACTTAAAAAACATATTTTAAAATGTATTAATTTGTTAATGAGAACTATGAGCTTGTTTCTGTTGACAGAGGACATTAATATTAGGTTCTAATTTGGTAGAATTTACCCGGAGAACGGCGTGTAGATGTTAATTTGTGATTCGAGATCGAGTTTTACTTTTGTTAATTTTCATAGTTGAAAATACTTGCTCACAAATATGTGTTGAACCAAATATACAAGACATCTTAGCAGCAAACTTCCGAACATTTGGAAAATCTTCTTCAGACAAATTTGAATAAAACTGAAAAAGATTTTGAGACCTTGTCAAATTATTAAATGTTGTTCTTAAAGAATTATTAGACTGGAGTTCTATAATTTCTAATTGTAAAGAAGCTTAGACAATTTCCGGATTTATATTAAATTTATTTTCAAATAGATTTATAATTGGTTCTTTAGTTCGAATGTCTTTAAAACGATTTTCAAATTCACGAATAATTGTGTTAATAATTTTGATGCACCTTTGTTTTGGAAATATAGCAAAATCTTCTGTTTTTAAAGTAGCACAACATTCGAAATGGGAGAAATTTATTTCTTCAATTTGATTTGGAATTAAAATAATTTATTTTGGAAAGCTTTTACTGAACCGAACAATGTACTTACGAGTTTTTCATTTCCTTGTAGTTTTAGATTTAACAAGTTCAGATGATGTGTTATATCTGTTAATATTGCTAAATCCCATAGCTATTCACCATCATTTATTTGTGTATATTGTTTATTTTTTTCAATTTCGAAAATTCAAAATTTCAAAATTTCGATTGCATGGCGCAGGAAAAAAAATCTTTTCAAAATGTTTCCTTTACTTTGATATAAAACATCTTTATACTCAGACTCTATTTCTGAAAGAAAATTTTGAAATTGGCGATGATTCAATCTATGTGATCTTATAAAATTAATAATTTGTACTACAATAGACATAACATTTTCTAAATCTAAAACCTTCCCACATAGTGCTTGTTGGTGAACAATGCAGTGAATTCCAATTGGTGGAGATAGATTTAGTTCAGACGTTTTTGAGTTTATTTTTCCGATTGGTCCACTCTTAGAGCCTATCATACTTTTTGCACCATCTGTAGTAATACTAACAAAATTTTCAAAATCAAGACCTAGATTTTTGAATGTATTAAATAAAGCTTTGAATATATCTTCTCATGTTGTAGTACCACTCAAACTCTCCAACGCTCCCAACTCTTCTGTTTTTTTCAAAATTTGCATTCACACCTCGTAAAAAAAATAGAAGTTGTGCCGTATCTACCATATCTGTACTCTAATTTAATGCTATTGAAAAATATTGAAAATGTTTTACTCTGTCTTGCACTTGTTCAAAAATATTAAGTCCAGGATCTTCTATTCTTCTAGTAATTGTTTGGCGTGACAAACTAACTTGTTCAAACAAACATTTATTTTCAGGACATATTTCATCAATAACATGTAACATACACTTCTTCACAAAGTCTCCATCAGAAAACGATTTACTTTTTTTTTGCTATTAACTGAGCAACTCGATAACTAGCATGGACAGTAGACACGTTTTGTTCACATTTTTTCTTAAATATATTTTGTTGAAAATTAAGATTTTTTTTTAAGAAATTAAATTTTTCTACTCTTTATTTTCCTTCTAGATTTTTAAATTTGTCTTTATGTTTACAGGGCTGCCACTCTGTCACTTTTCTCACTTTTTGTCACTTTTCTAAAATCATGTCACTTTTTGTCACTATTTCCGTAAAATTGTCACTTTTCTCACTTTCTTTACACCTACATAAGACCTTAATCTAATATGTCTTTTTTTATTACTATTTATCAACAAAAAAATTAAATTATGATATAATTATTATAATGATAATATATTATTATTTTATAGATAATATTATTATAATGGATTTGTATATTCCCACAAATTAAAATATATTAAAATATCCTATTTAGGCCCGGTTTTTCAGCCATTTAACTGCTAGTTAGAGACTAATAATGGAATAGCTAGATAGCGCTCGAATCGCATATCTTAGTTCGTGATTGAGCTAAATACGTTATCAGGATTAAGTTGTATTATCTAATACCACGGTCTTGGAAAGCCGGAGTGATAAGCACGCGCGTATCACTAAAGTGTAGTTCACATTTAAAAATATTTTAAACATTAGTGTAATATCTATGCATTTAAATTTTATTTATCAAAATGTGATTTAGCAGTGTTTAGTAGCTTTCATGTTAAATTACTTATATTATGATTAAAGTGTATATATTCAATATTGTTATTTAATTTTAATATATCTAGTCATGGGTAAATGTGTAGTAAATAATGAGTGGTTTCAAAGAAAAGACTCCAGAGATAATTTAGTATCTACGTGGGGACGGAAACATTCGGACTCCAAAGTATTTTGCATTGTATGTACCATTACTATTAATTGTGAATTGAAAGGTTTTCAAGCTTTACAGCAGCATGCAATTACTTCAAAACATATTTCCAATTATAAGGATAAACTTGGAGAAAAACAACTTCACCTTTCAGCAAGTTTACCCTCTACATCGACTAATATTGAACAGAATGTAAATGAAAAAAAGAACATTAAATCATTATTTATACAAACTAGTTCAAGGGACTTGGCTACAAAAGCGGAACTCATTTGGACGATGAAATCTGTCATTAGCAATATGTCAGCAGCCTCAAGTGATGGAATATCTCAAATATTTAAATCAATGTTTCCTGAATCATTTGTAAACTCTAGTTTTTCTTTAAATCGTACCAAATTATCGTATTTAATAACTGATTCGCTTGGTCCCCATTTCAGACAAATTTTACTTGATGAGTGTCAAAATGCATATTACACGTTGATATATGATGAAACTACAAATGCCGAAGGTGCTAAAGAACTACAATGTGCTATTAGATATTGGTCTGATGCAGTAAATGAAGTAGTTGTTCATCATCTGGAAACATTTTTTATTGGTACTGCCACTGGACAAATTTTAGAAGAGTATATTATGAAAGCACTGAACAATGGTAACATACCCATTGAAAAACTATTGATGCTCGGGAGTGATGGACCAAATGTGAACAAAAAAGTATTTAGATTAGTCAATGAAAATGTCAAAATTATTCGCGGTAAAAGTCTTATTGATATTGGAACATGCAATATACATATTATTCATAATAGTTTTTTGAAAGGTTTAGAATATATGGGATCCAGAGTTTCAGATTTTGTCATAGATATTTATTATTTTTTTCATGGTTGGCCTAAACGCGGTGAAGACTATTTAAAAATCCAAAAAGATAAAGGATTATCAGAACATAAGTTTCTGAAACATTGTTCATCAAGATGGCTAACACTGGGTTCTGCCACTGCACGTATCATTGAACAACTGGTTGGAATTTCAGAATATTTTTTAAAATTTATTCCTAATTATCAAAAAAGCTTACTTCAAACATCAAAATATAAAAAAATTATTGATTGTTTAAGATGTAGTACATTTCAAGCAGAACTTGAGTTTGTTTTTTGGTCTGCATCTATTTTTCAAAGATTCACAGGTACATTTCAACGTCAAGAACCGCTCATACATATAATGTATGAAGAATTAAGTCAACTTGTATGTATTATTGCTGGTTATGTATGTAAAGAAAATGTTATAAGTGAATGGTTAGAAAATAATACTTTTGATTTATTTAATGAAGTTAATCTGAGGGACATAAATGACTTACTTGTTCATCTTCCTAATGAATTAAAAATACATCTTAATAATTTATCTGAACTTGATAAAAAAATATTTTTAAGAAATGTAAAAAAACATTTAGTCTCAGCCGGAAATCATATACTGAACAAGTCATCGATTAAAGATTCATCAAAACTTAAATATTTTAGATGCTTGAAGACAGATGAAATTAAAAAATCAAGGAGTAGTATTGAAATTAATAAAATTGCGAATATCATGCCATTCAAAATAGATTATAATAAACTGGTTGATGAATGGAAATTATTAAGGTTTGAGTCTTTACCGAACACTAAAACAAGAATAGATCATTTTTGGAATAATATTTTTGACTTAAAATCTGGATTAGGTGAGATAAAATATCCAACAGTCACTAAAGTGGTTAAAGCCTGTTTAACCTTATCACATGGCAGTGCAGAAGTTGAACGTGGTTTTTCAAGATCAGGAAACATATTGACTGATGACAAATCTGCAATGTCTTGTCGTATGCTCAATGGCCGTCTTAACATACAGGATGGATTGTCTCGATATAATAAAAAACCAGAATTAATTCCTATGACTAAAGAACTTTTATTGTCTGCCAGACTTGCACATTCTAAATATGTTAACTTTTTAGAAGAATCAAAAAAAAAGAAAACAGAAGAAGAAAATCAACAAAAACTTAAGGAAGATGAAGAACAACTCAGAAGAGAAGAAGAAGAAAAACTGATAGGTACAAAAGAAAACATTATAAATCTAGAAAAACAATATTTAAGTGCTAAAAAAATAGAAGCAAAACAGAAAAAAGCAGCAGATACATTTTTGGAAGAAGCTACTGAGAGACTTCAAAAAGCAATTAACAGTAACGATTTAGTTAATGCACAAGTAGCAGTAGGGATGTTAGACGCGGCCAAAAAACTTCGAGATGATGAACGAAAAAGAAGTATTAAAACTGAATCACTACAAACAAAAATTGAAAAAAGAAAATCTAACCTCATATCACAATTTATTTTAAAAAAATCAAAAAAATAATTTTTATTATTTATTGTTTAATTTTATAGTATATAATAATATAAAAAAGTTAAAAATGTTTTTATTTGAGTCTGATTATTTTATTTGTTGTTTAATTTTTTAGTATATAACAATATAACAAAGTTAAAAATGTTTGTATTTAAGTCTGATTATTTTATTTTTTGTTTAATTTTATAGTACATAATAATATAACAAATGAAAGTTAAAAATGTTTTTATTTTATTTTTTGTTTAATTTTATAGTAATAATATAACAAAGTTAAAAATGTTTTTATTTAAGTCTGATTATTTTATTTTTTGTTTAATTTTAGTGTTTAACAAAGTTCAGTTGGTTACTAATGACTAATGAGTAATGTCTTTTTTTTTTTTTCTTATTTTTATTAGCCTTTAGTAATAACTATTATGGCTCAACAAAGTAATGTCTTTATAATAATGTTATATTTCAATAAATGTTTTTGTACAAAGTCGACGGTTTTTAGTCACTTTTTTCAAGAAAAAAAGTCACTTTTTAGAAAATAAAAGTCACTTTTCTCACTTTTTAAAATTATGAACACAGTGGCAGCCCTGTGTTTAGTTTCATAGTGTCTTTTTATGTTACATTCTTTTAAAACTGCAATAGTTTCTTTACATATTATGCACATACCGTTATTTTCCATTCTATACAAAAGTAATCGTCTTCCCACTGATTTTTAAAAACACGACATTCCGAGTCGATTTTCCGTTTTTTGTTAGACATATTGAACTTTTACAATACACAACGTAATAACAACATTAACTTTATATTAGTCCTGACCGCTGACGAATAACGACTGATCACGATGGCTGTAGAAACTACAATGTAGATAAAATTGGTCGCGCAACGAGCACAGTAATATTACTATATGTTGTATTACTATATATTGCTATACTACTAATATAATTGTAGTATTGTAGTTTCTATATGGTGATCGTATGAAAATAAGATAAGATAAGATACGGTAATGCTATTTATATTATTAAATTACATTGTAACAACAAAAACGCTACGATATGGCGATACGGGATTAAATATGAAGAATGTATACTGTATTTTTAATTTTTTTTTTTACGTAAATGTAAAATATTATACTTCTTTCGCGGGCCAGATATGAAATGATGGCGGGTCGTAGTTTGGCAACCACAGAATTTTAGACATTACTGTTCTATGTTTTAGAACACTGAACATTGTGTTCAAAAAATAAATAAATTGTGTTTTTATTTGTGTTAAAAAAAATGTTAATGTTTCACGTTTTTGTGAAATATTTCATACTTCAAACACTAATTAAAACATTAAATTAATAATACCTAAAAATAATATTTTCAGGT